TATACGTTAATGTAATAGTGAAATTTAAAATTATTTAATAATATTTTTATTCCATATGTATGTATGTATGACATTAATGCAAAATTAAAATTATCAGCTGGCTGGATTCGTATAAAAAAATTAATTGAACTGTTAAAAAAGGAACAAAATATATTCCATAATTTAAAACTCAATAAAATAAAATGCTTTGAAAATTTTTTATTTCAAACTTTTTTTATTAAAATATCATGAAAATACACAGAACTGATACAAACTTAAACAAAACTGATTTTTAAAGCAATATAAGCAAACTTAATATTCATTAAAATTAACTACAAAAACAAACAGTAGAAAAATGTAGTTTATTTTACAATTGTTTGTATATCAAATCAATAATATATTTATAGTCAACAAAATGTTTGTAAGTAATAAAGCATATTTTGTATGTAACTATAGAAAAATATAAATTTGTTTAAAAAATTGCTTAAATTCCATTCACATCAGCATATTTGTGTATGTATATATTTATTTATATATATATTTTAATAAATGGTAAAAACCGTATGTATGTATGCATACCATTTTTGCTTGATACTACTTATATATTTTGTTTTGTTTTGTTGTTTTTTTAAGCAAATTTACTGCTTTACTGTTTTTTTTTTCTTTTTTGTTGTTGTTTGCTTTTACTTGCTTAATTTTACTCTTCTCATACAATATCAGTGTGTACGTATATGTTGTTCTGYTCTTATATACGCGCGCATTCATCTTACGTGCTCTTTGCTTTAATGGAACTTCCGCTTCTTGCCACCACGCTTTTTACCTTTGCCCTTCAATTTACGTTTTTTACTGCCACCACTGGAGCCCTCACCACGCAACGCCGGATCGCGGCTAATTTCACCGAGTATCTCATCGCCGAGTGTGGCTGTAAGCAGAGAAAGCGAAAGAATGTTAGTAAAAAAAATTTAGAAAAAAATTCAGAAAAATTTGAAAAAAAAAAAAATTTTGAAAAAAAAAATTTTGGAAAAAAAATTAGAAAAAAAAAATATTAAAAAAATGTTAGAAAAGAAAATTAAAAAAAAAAAAACTTCATAAAAAAATTTTTGGTTATGTGTTGTTTTTTATAAATATACAACTCACCTAGAGTGGTCAACTTGCGTTGACGATGCTTTTCCGCTTTGGTCACCGGCAGACGTGTCAAGTAGGTCTCCTCATATTCTTGTTTCTCTTTCTGTTGTTTGGAGAGCAGTTGTTGGGCGCGTGAGCCGGATGATAGTTCGGTAGGTGCGTCGAGATATTCTTCYTTCAAATCTTGCAACATCGAAGCACTATAAAAATAGAACATTTTTAAAACATTTTACCCACAAAAAAATTTCCCAACTTACGTGATGGCACGCTTCTTGGCACGCTCTATCATCTTCTTATCCTTATCTGCAGATTTCTCATCGCCATCATAGTAGACTGGCTTAATTTTGGGCGGCACATAGATACCAGTTTTACCCGCTGTAGCGCCCTTTTTKGGTTTCTTCACGCCAGCCTCGCCCTCCTCATCATCRCCATCGCTTTCGGATGCCGAATTTTCGCTTGCGTCTTCATCATCCTCATCGGCATCGTCMTCACCGCCAGCATTTGTGAGCATATTATCTGGATTGGGCTGCAATRCAAAAATGTTGTATATTAATTAGTTGGACATAACTTTAAAGTAAGCTCAAAACTCACCTTATACAAAATCGGATCGGAACTACTCGATACGCCGGTGGTGGCTGTCTTCACTAGCTTATCGATCTGATAGCGCAACTTATGATCGATTGGTCGTATTTTCTCCAAAACTGTGCGTATTTCGATTAATCGTTCAATGGATGGATCACCTTCGATAGTCTCGCCGGAGCATTTGCGTAACACTACATAAGTTAGATTTATCAAATAATCGAGCAACATGTGATATTTRACTTCGAGAAAGCTCAGGCCGTATTCTGTGGTTAGTTCGCCGCGTTTGACGCGTTGCAACATGCTTTCGACTAGATCGGTGACTTGTTTCACATTGCTGTTCATCTCGCCGAGCAGTTGTATGGCTTGTGGGATGTCCTGTTGCTGCACATGGCAGTCATAGTCGAGCGCCTATAAAGCAGTAATGGATGGGATGGTGAATACTATGTTTCGGTTACCATTTTTTTTCTTAAAATACTTAATTCATTTAAGTTCAAACATGCTTCTATTGAAGCGTATAGTAGGCTCTCTCTTYACATTCTGTCGCACTCGTTTTATTCACTTCATTCATATTTTCTTATATTTATATATCTAATAATATATAGTACATTGTCATATAACCAACAACAAAATGCTCAACACACACTTAGTCTATGAGTACATTAACTGTAAAGTCAAACACACGACTGTAAAATCATAAATTTGCATTCTTAAACAGTAACCAAAGAGCGRAATGTAACAGAAGGTTTATGAACTTGCTATTGCCTATCCGAATGGTAGACTTCTGCACTAAATAGCAAGTCCATAAACCTGCTAGTGCACAGCCAAGGGACAATTAAAGCTATCAGTAGTTAGCTACTAAGTTTTACAACTGAGTTTATGCAAGCAGGTAATAATCAGACCGTCAGTAGGAAACTAGGATAGTATCAKCTGGGAATCCAGTCATTTAGGAATAGAAGGAAACGAATAAGCAAACCAGTTGACTCGATTGCTGGGAACACAATTCTCCTAAGCTGTGCTAGGCCATACAGCTCCTTTAAACTTTCTGACATACGAAGGGAAACTTATAAGGTTTTTTGAGGCAATCCACCTTAGGTCTTGGGACACCAAGCCACACAGGGCATACTACAAAGTTATTGTGGGGTAGTTTTAATGGTGGGTAGGCCAAAAAGTTTCTATTTCAAGTCAAGGGGTCAAATCAGTAATATTTTAGGGGTCATCACAGGACATCTACCCTTTSGATTACACATTTAGGAAAGTGGATTCGGCAAAATTCAAAGCATTTCCGAAGGATGATGAGTATCGTATATTATCTTTGCGAATGCTTAACCTTCAACAGGCTGAGACGGGATATATACCATGATTCTCAATGATCCAACTTTAAAGATATTGAGCAGCTGGGATGAAAAAAGATCAGGCTTTGCTTTTACCAAATCCACTAAGTTGCTGAAAAAGGCTAAATTTGGCTAAAATCTGAGCCTTTGTACTTAAAATTTAAAATAGTRGCCAGAGTGCATCATACCACAGCCCTCAGAGTTGCATCAGCCTACCAAACAGTGTCTATCGATGAAATATTAGTTATACGCGGTAATGCAACTTTCTGACTTACGAAGGGAAAGTAACCAGAGCTTAATAGAACAAATAAAGGAAGAAGGCCTTTTTAAACAACCCAGCGCTTATCCGGTCCTGGATACTCCAAAAAGTATCTCCACAGGATATAAAAAAAAAAAAACATTAATTTACAATAAAAATACTGCACAAATGGTTGAATTCGGAATAGTATAACCCCATATAACGGTACTATTAAAAACTACTAAAGGGCATTAAATCAAAAACTAAATATGAGAGGAAATAAAAAATTTAATTTTACACACGAGATGGTATGAGAGGGCTTTATGGCAGCCGTGGTACATATTGGCCGTAACATTTTTATGTCTCAGTGCAAAAATCGGACTACAACCAAGCTTATGGTACTTAATACAATTTTAAATTCCATCATTTTTTTCTGGTGTAGTAATCAAGGAACAATTAATATAATGGGATAAAAAGTTTGCACGAATAATGTCTTTAGTGCATGCCACCATATGGACCAAAAATTTTTCAAATCCAACATAATCCAGTGCCTACCTGTTGATTTTTGATCGAAAATATCGGTCAATGTATGGGATATACAGTCGAAATTCTTTAAGAATCTTTTCCTGATAATATTATCGCTGTGTATCACAAATGGGTTGAATAAGGTCAATACTTTCCTGAGTCCTCAAATACTTAATACAAAGATTTTTGAACTACCGTGCAACTTTATACCACACATATTGGCTAATATGTGAGTTACTTCAATGAAAATGATAAAATTGAGCGAAAACTTGACCTAGCCCCAATATATAATTAATATCAGGATTTTCGAACATCTGCTTGACTCTGCTCCATGTAATTGGTGATGGTATATGAGACACTTTGATGAAACAATGGAAGCATTTTATTAGTCTGTGGCATGTTAATACTATATAGTATTGGAAAAAATATATAAAATCGGATCGAGACTACCCTCAACGCCCATATACTACAGATCGTCACTTAAAATACAAAATAACGCAATATCACTTTTCATAAGTTTACAAGCGAAGGAAAAACGACCAAATACAAACCACTCATATTGAAAGGTATATAGGTTTTAGTTATAAAATGGTTATATATTATTATATTATATACCGCGCGTTGCTGTCGTATCATTTTATACATATCTATATATATATATATAGAGCGAAATTATTAATTTAATAATCTCTTCAATATAGTGAAAATATTATTTACGAATAAAGGCGGAAACATTGTTGTCGGTATAAGAGTCCAAGGGATTGTATTTGAGATTTAATTTTGAATATTTTCAAACAAATACATTTCATTGGAAAAAATAACGAATATAAGGCTAGTTTCTCAATATCTGGTTACCAGTATTTCTATCGTATTTCTATAGAGTTTTGCGCTTAATAGATTGTACTTAAGCGGTTAGGTGGGTTTGAAAATTTCCAAAAATCGATTTTGTTTTGTTTGCTTTATTAAATTCTACAATACCTCTAGAATATAGTCCTAAATTTTAAAGTTGATCGGAGTAATAATTTCGGAGATCCAGCTTTGAGATCTTGTGCACTCAAGGCTAGCTGCGCTAAGTGCCCTGTCTTTAAACGCGTTTTTCTCGAAACTGTGTTTTTGAAGTCGGTGGACACCATTTCTCGAAAAGTTATCGACTGATTTAGTTCGTATTGTGTACACGTATTTGAAATGATATTATCTAGTTATTGAACGAAGGATTTTTTCTTCTTTCATTACAACTTATTTTTCTGACCAAAAAATGCCGAAAATTTTACCAAAAATGAGATTTTTTGTTCAAAGTTTGAGAAAAGAAGGACAATTTTAATATTTTTATACTCTCGCAATAAAGTTGCTAAAGAGAGTATTATAGTTTTGTTCACATAACGGTTGTTTGTAAGTCCTAAAACTAAAAGATATAGGGTTATATATAGCAAAGTGATCAGGGTGATGAGTAGAGTTGAAATCCGGATGTCTGTCTGTCCGTCCGTCCGTGCAAGCTGTAACTTGAGTAAAAATTGAGATATCATGATGAAACTTGGTACTTGTATTTCTTGGCCCCATAAGAAGGTTAAGTTCGAAGATGGGCAAAATCGGCCCACTGCCACGCCCACAAAATGGCGAAAAACGAAAACCTATAACGTGTCATAAGTAAGCCATAAATAAAGATATTAAAGTGAAATTTGGTACAAGGGATCGCATTAGGAAGTGTCATATTAGCACGTAATTTTTTTGGAAAAGTGGGCGTATCTCGAAAACTACTATAGCTATGTCAACCAAACTGTATAGAGTAGCCTCCCATAMAAAGGTTATGTTGAAAATCCATAAAAGTCCGTTAACCGACTAACAAAAAACGTCAGAAACACTAAATTTTACGGAGAAATGTTAGAAGGAAGCTGCATCCAGGCTTTTTTTAAAATTGAAAATGGGCGTGGCGCCGCCYACTTATGGACCAAAAAAAAAAAAATCTCAGGAAGAACTCGACCGATTTCAATGAAATTTCGCATATAATATTTTCTTAACACCCTGATGACAAGTACCAAATATGGCTGAAATCGGTTCACAACCACGCCTGAAATCTCGATTATTACTTTATCATGCGAGAGTATAAAATGTTCGGTGACACCCGAACTTAGCCCTTCCTTACTTGTTTTATTCAAAACGTTCAAAAATGAGATTTAGATATGTACTAACGGTCTCAACAGCGGAATTTTCATCATTTTTGTATCGAATTTTCAGGAGATATTGTTCGAATATATAAATTTGGTATAGCATATTATATTTTTCAACTATATGATTGCTTGTATTAAAAAAAAAATTGTAAAAATACCTTTTTTGTACCTCTGAAACCCACCTAACCCCTTAATAAATATCAACTTGTGTATGCTTACTGTTGATGCTCGCKTAATAGGTCGTCCATTTAATAGAGCTTTCACTATATTCTTTATTTATGAATATTTTTTACTAYCCTATCTTCTAAGTTGGTTGGAACTGGGCACAGTGTGCTAAATTTTACTAAAATCGGTTCAGTGGTTTATTATTTTTTTTGATGAAAAGTTGTTTTGCATTTCAGGTGACGATATAATGATACTAGCGTATCTAACAAAGCTTGTGTAGAATATGTTGGTAATGTTCTATAACTCTAAGTTCCCCACAACTCGAACGCGTGAATTGGCAAAAGAATCGAATTTCATACAAATTTCCTTCCATAACTCAAAGTCTCTCTAACTCGAAGTTTTTGTATGGATTGTGGCAATAAGAGTTTGGGCAGTTTTACTGTATATGTAATTGCTTTTATTCGGAACCTCTGTTTGACGTTTTGCACCTTTAAGTATTTCCCTGGCAGTGACTCCTGCTAATTGTAAGAGTACAAAATGTTCCGTTGCAACCAAACTTAGCGCTTCCCTACATGTTTCAAATGTATTTTATTTWWTTTTCTTTTTATATAGAAAAATTGTAATTTCTATTAATTAATATGTCTACCTCACACTCGATTTTGCGCGCACCAACATTTCGCATGCGCCACCGCACGCCTTTAATATGCAAATTTTTTTCAGCGAACTAGCTACAAGCATTTTATAGCACAATTGCAGGCCGCAATGGTTAGGCAGCACCTATGCCTGTGTGTGTGAATTATGTTGCGCGCAGCAAATCATAAAAGCGCTTTAGTGATGCAAAACAACAAAAGCAACAACACGGTATGCCAGAAATCAACACAGCCCGGAGTGATTCTAACATTTTCTAGCCCGTTTGTGTGTGTGTGTCCGTGCGTGCGCGGCGGTGCTTTCAAATGCATTAGCAACCAAAGCCAACACACTCCA